CCTCATGTACGTGCTTTGCTTGCCTTAAATACCCTGTACTAAATGCGTAAAGCCAGTTCCACCTTGGCATCGTTGTTGTTGAGTTCTTGTTTGGGAATTCAACGAAGCGTAAATTGACAGCGACATATAGGCCTTAGCAACATTATAATAGTAATGAGGTCCGGAATGAGTCAGCCCCAGCGAGGTGATTGGCCAGCCCGGATTTGGGGAGGCAGGCGTTAATATGTGCGTTTTTGCTAGCCGCCGTGAGAGGCTGAGTGTTGGCGCAGTTTGCGGCACCTGTGATTGGCTGTCCCAGAGGCGGATCGAGGCTTGCGATCACGCGACCTTATTCGTGCCGTGGCGCCGATGATCAGTTTTTAGAAGAATATGCTATTCAGGAGCTCTGGATGACGCAGAATACATTTGACAGACTTCAGGACTCACATGTCTGTAAGATCCACTCGACGGCGCTAGTGCTGAGCTCAAAAGGGAACAATGATTCAGGTGTAACTTCAGTCGCTTCATGCACTGCAAGGAGTAAGGTAGGTTGTTCACCAGCAGCTCCACCTGCTAACAACCATCTGCGACACTATATTAATAGGGCGAACAGGCATCGTCAAGGAAAAACGAACAAGGCGAGCAGGGGTGTCGAGCTCGGCGTTCAGCAAAGCAAAACAACTCCCCTTTCGTTAAACTATGGGGCTGCCCTCACATATACAAAGGTCCCAACGGTAGCATAAGTGAGTCATTTCCATAATGGGCGATTCTGTTCGTGAAATGGAGGTAACTTGGAGACAGAAAAAGCAAGACTTGGGTACGTCTTCAGATAGTTATGCGACCTCAATGGAGGACAGCTCTTGTGATTTATGAACCTGGCAGATACAGTGTTTTTATCACTGCTAATCGACTCTATCGGAGGGACGACAGGGTAAGGTTGGAACGAGCAGCTGCCGAAAGAAATATGTGCTGCAGAAGTCACTTTTGCCACAAAGGTCCCATTGAGGAAGGCGGCCTTCTGGAAAGAAATCACTTACTGTAAAACATGGCAGATCCCGTAGTCAGTAGACAAGGCGGGACGCAAAATGAGAACATAAGATCTGTCTGACAAAAAATAACGGTTGGGCACGCGGGTAATGGAGCCTGCTGCCATAGTACACATGGATGGCCGTGGGCTAATTTCCACGAAGGGTACCTTTTTCCCGTGCGCTAGACCTACCTGACTTCTAATCATCTTGGGATTTACTGGTAGGCCTCCTGTATTATGATAGCTTGTTCTTCTTGTGTTAAAACAAATCAACGTTATCAGGTCCGGTAAAGCGGGCTTACCGCAAACAAAGTACCACATATAACCAGTGGCATGAAAATTAGATGTTTTTATACGTTAAAAAAACCCGACTTTCATCCTCGGCCAGGCCCAGTGTACTTCGTCGAGTGTACTTAACTCGAAGGATGGTCCACAAGCAGTAGTGGTCAAATACCTCCAGATTTCTTCAATGCTCTACCCGCAAAGCCCAGCATTCACATCCGCAGAGAACGACAGACAGCGCGGATGCACGGTACACGCAATGGAAATATTGCATCGGGTACATAGGCACTTTCTAAGGCTTTAAATAACTCGAAGAGCTGCATCGATTCGGGAAACAATGTAATCCTTATTCTGTCCATTCGCCAGAAACCTCGCTGTGAGGTATTTGAAACTGTCTACTTCTTCAAGTTGATAGCCATTAATCTCGAGGGGTACTCTCTTTTGGGCATGGATACAACATGAAAACACCTGGGTCTTCGCCAATCGGACGAACCGACCTATTTAGCGGCCCCATTCACGTGTGACTCCATAGACTCTAGATCGCCAAAATTTGAAGCTAGTAAAGCGATATCATCGGCATAGTCGACAACAGTTAACCGGCGTCCGGATGCAACCCGATACCATGAATGCGGAAGTTATCAAATAGGTTGATCTTGGTCCAAGCAACAATTCATTGCGCTTTATCAACAAAGTTGACTCAGGGGAAACAAACCAGGACGAGGACAGTGACGAAGCAGAAAGGCGA